ACGGCGTGGGGTGGGGGGAGCCAGTCACGTCTCTATTTACACTGTGGGGCGGGGGGGGGCCCCGAGCTCCCTGTGCTCTTCCATGCACCACCTAGTCCAAGCTGGACGTGGTCCCTGTGGTTTGTTCGGCTGAAATGTCTTTTGCTTCAAGGACAGAGAAGTTTCAATCAGGCAGGATTTGAAGGTCATTCCTAAGATTCGTATGTACAGGAGTCTACAGGAGAGCGGCAGGCAGCCTGCTCCCTGCGCACAGAGACACCCCCGTCCTGTGGCCCAGAGCTCCACGGACCTCCCCCCCCTGGGGCCCTGCCCAGCCCCTGAGCCCAGTTCAGACACACCCTAAGAGCTTGGGAAGTCCTCCGGTTCCACCCCCACCCCAACACAGCCCCCTCTCCCTGTGTCCGCAGAAGCCAGTTGGGGCATCTCCCCGGAGAGGGGTGGAAACTTGGAACAACCTGGAGAACCGGCTGCAGGAGCGAGAAAGCATTACAGTTTCAAATGTTCCTCTGGACACTGGCCTCGGAAGCGTCTGCCCCGCCCTGGGACCCAGCCTCACAGGTAGATCTCCCTCTTGGCGGCACACAGCCCCCTCTCCCTGTGTCCGCAGAAGCCAGTTGGGGCATCTCCCCGGAGAGGGGTGGAAACTTGGAACAACCTGGAGAACCGGCTGCAGGAGCGAGAAAGCATTACAGTTTCAAATGTTCCTCTGGACACTGGCCTCGGAAGCGTCTGCCCCGCCCTGGGACCCAGCCTCACAGGTAGATCTCCCTCTTGGCGGCTTGAGACGTAATGCAGAAAAGTGGAGAGTTTGAGGGCATTCTTGGGCCGGCGGCTGGGGGAGGACTGGCCAGGCATCCAGCAGGTGTCGGAGTGGCCGAACTCCGTGCACTCCCGGGTGCAGGTCCCCGTCATGGCTACGTCAGGCAGGGGGCGGAGATCTGTGGAAAGGGGAGCAAGAGCAGCGTTAACCCCGCGTGCACAAAGCCCCAGCGTGGGAGTGGGGGCTGGGCCCACGGCCTAGGGTGCTACGCTGGCCGCCCAGGCTAAGCCCAGGCACTGTGGGGAGGCTGCAGCGGGCCAAGCACCATTCCTGGGAGGTGGGGGGCCTGGCCCTAGGCCACAAAGGGCCATGACAGAGCTTGGCCTAAAACCTGGGACTCGGGGCCCCTTGCCATGTGCCCAGCGGATGTTACTGTGGCCCTGGGCTCAAGTGTGCACCCAGCCCCGCTGCTACCGGGGACCCCCAACTCCACAGCGATGAGATCGCACAACCCAGGGAGGGAGGTGGAAATAACACAGGGAAGGAGAGAAAAACTGGGGTGTGTCTACACTACCCCGCTAGTTCGAACGAGGAGGGTAACGTCGTCATCCGCACTTGCACATGAAGCCCGGCATTTGAATTTCCCGGGCTTCATTTGCATAAGCGGGGCGCCGCCCTTTTTAAATCCCCGCTCGTTCGAACCCTGTGCCGCGCGGCTACATGGGGCACGAACTAGTTAGTTCGAACTAGGCTTCCCA